GAAGCCATGTGGTGGGTTACAATAAACGGTGGAAGCTCTTCCAAGATTTGGGTGGTAATTATTATTAATAAGCTTAATATACGAGGTCTATGACTGTGACGATAATCTCTACTAATTAATAAAACATTAATTGTCAACTAAAATTCTATAAAATTACCAGTTTATCCCTCTAATTAAAACAAAACATGAATAAGAAATATGGAACAGAAATGTATTTCACACAACCAAATTTTGCTTTTTTTTTTTTTTTCAAAGCCTCACTTACATGTAATCCTAATGTATCTTTACTTTAAAAAATAAAAAACTTTACACTCCTACATTCTTTATCACTCCCTCTCTTCTTTTATTTAAAAAACAAAAATAAAAAAAAATTTATGTGTGCCCATATGCTAGTGTTAATAAAAACAATCATCAACAATACTAATAATTTAAAACCACATCTCTTTGTATGCGTCGCTAAATTAAAGCCCACATACCAATCAGAGTAATATGTTAATCATGTTTTTAATTTTATGTATGATACACCTTTGACCTTTGCCTTATTTAGCAAAATATATATGTATATATTTGCCATCATGTTGCTACGTACTATTAACATACTCATTTTCTAACTCTTCCTCCAAAACTCTTTCTTAAGGCAGGTGTCATCTTAGAATATTTTCAAAGGAGATGTAAAATTCCTACGTGAATTGTCACCATGCATATTTGACATCAAAAATTTATCCAACCAAAGTGTTATTTGTTAGTTGGAATTGAAGGCTTTGTGATTTGTAGTCAAATTTGACATCAATATCAATATCAAATTTATTTTTTATTTATTTTAATAGTGGACCCTTGTTCCACTAACATTTCAACCAATAAAAATTTTGTTTCAACATTTTTAATAATTACAAGCATTTAAAGCTCTATTTAAATAATAAAATAATATTTGACAATTGGATTGAAGAAAGTACAAAATGTGACATATGGTTTCAAATTGCCATATCAGCCATCAATTATAATTTGACATTTCCTTTAAAAATGGTCTTTTATATTGCAGATTTGATCATCTATTGACTTGTCAAACTTATTTTATATATATATATATATGTTAGGTGTAAGTATTGTTAGGCCTAATTGGATTATTAGTCTCCTTGGTAATAGGGTAGTCGGAAAATAGTCTCTATGGTAAAAATATTAGGATGTAAGTTCATGTGGTGAAGTCTGTTAGGATTTAGGCCTAAAATTGAAAATTCTGTCAACTCTCTGTTAATTATTAGCACGTAAGCTACATATATAAGGCTAAAACGAAATTTTCTGTTAATTGTTATCACTTGAGGCTTATGTGAGGCTAACTTAATATGTTTAACCTCACATGTAAACCTCATGTGCTAACAATTAATGGAGAGTTAATGAAATTTTCAATTTTGGGATTAAATCCTAACAGACTTTACCATATAAGCTTAAATCCTAATTTTTTTTACCACATGAACTATCTTCTGGACACCCTATCACCACAAGAACTATTAGTCCACTTAGTTCCGTATATAAAATCATTAAAAAAAATAAATAAATAAAATAAATAAAATAAAAAAATAAAAAAGAAGCAAGAGTTCCTCCATTTTGAGTATTGACTTGAAAAATACATGTACCATTGAGGTTCTCCAACAAAAAGAAAAACATTTATAGTTCATTAAATTAATTAAGGCTATTTAAAATGTTTTTTAAAACTGTTTTTGGATATCCCTCCTACGGCTACCAATACCATAATGCCTTTCAACAATCGAACTTGTCAATATTTTAGATGTCATATCTCGGTCCGGGACGGATCACTTCCTGGGCCTGCTCCACCATCATAGCACGATATTGTCCGCTTTGGGCTTACCATTCCCTCACGGTTGTTTTTGGGAACTCACGAGTAACTTCTCAGTGGGTCACCCATCATGAAATTGCTCTCTCCCAAACTCGCTGAACTTCGGAGTTCCTTCGGAACATGAAGCTAGTCCCTAGCCGGAAGTGTGCCGACGAGGATGTCAGGCCCCTAAGGGGGGTGGATTGTAACATCCCACATCGCCCAGGGGAGTGATCCTTAAATGTATATCCCATCTCTACCTAGCACAAGGCCTTTTGGGAGCTCATTAGCTTCGGGTTCCGTAGGAACTCCGAAGTTAAGTGAGAAGGGGGCTAGAGCAATCCCATGATGGGTGACCCACTGGGAAGTTGCTCGTGAGTTCCCAAAAACAAAACCGTGAGGGAATGGTAAGTCCAAAGCGGACAATATCGTGTTACGGTAGTGGAGCGGGCCGGGAAGTAATCCGCTCCGAGCCGGGATGTGACATTAGACCATCGTCAAAGGCCATTTTTTTGAAAAGAAAAAAAAATAGCCAAATTCAATTTTTGTAGCCATCTAAAATTTACAACTACAACAGTTTCTGAAAAAAAAATGTAGAACTACAATAAAAATGTAGATAATAAAACAGCAAAACAATTATTGATTTAGCCAGCTCATTTAATTAGAAGCCACATTCCAGTCATAGTAATATGTAATAATTATGTCCATGTCAGTTTTTCGGCGGTAAGAGAGCAGACTGCGACTCCTCAAAAAGACAAAGTTTCTAATAAAGAAAAACAAGGGGTCTGTTATCCATACACACCATTTTACTTCTTACACACCCCTTGATAATTTCTATCTGTTGATCTTCTTCAATTCATCCGATCCGACGGTCGAAAATTTTAAAAAAGGTGTGTGAGAAGTAAAATGGGGTGTGTGGATATCACACCCTAAAAACAATCATGTCCTTGTCACGCCGAATCTATAATGGAAAATGTAAGAGAGATCATGTTTTATTTGGTAGATTATATAATATGATAGTTGATGGTTGAATACATTTCTTAATAATTTAAAAGTAATGCTAAGAAAATCTCATTTTTGAACCACATTTTAAAAACATCAATGGCATGTGCATGCCAAGTCACTTAATACAATTAAATGTATTTTAATGTTTTAATTCCCTAATTAAATTACCATTATAATATAATTAAAGGGGTGTGATATTCACATATCTCTTTTTATTTCTCTCACACCCTTTATTAATTTATGACATTTGATCTTCTTTAATTTATTCAATCTAACGGTCAAAAATTAAGAAAATGTGTGAGAAATAAAAAAGGAAATATGGATAGCACACCATCAATTAAAATGCAAAAACCCTAGCAGCCAAGCAAACCCTACTCCCTAACAAACCACTAGCCCAACCTTCCTCATGGTAGGGGATAAAATTTTGATTGATGATTTTCATTTTTTTTTTTTTTTTTTGGTTTTTTTGACAAAAAGGTAGGTTTTTTTAATAAATACTAGTTGAAATGCTTATAGCCCCTGGCAAAATATTAAGGATATCTCCAATCGAAGGAGGGCCATATGACTCTCTTTAACCCTATAGCTCTCTAAGAAATTATATTTTAATAAACAGTGCCATACCATATTTCATACTATCTCCAAACGAGGGGGTCAAAGGGCCATAGGCCAAACATAATTTATTATTTCAATTTAAAGACTACAACAACTTAAATTTAAAAACTACAACTTAAATATTAAAGACTACAACAACTTAAATTTAAAAATTATAATCATCATCATCATCATCATCCACCATTTTAGGACTATAGTCAGATATAAACAAGTCCCGTCGGGCCATAATTTCCCTCTTTTTCCTATCAAAATATGCCTTATTCATTAGAGTGTAATCCGAAGTGTTCATTTGCATGTTCCTATCATCCATCTCTTTTTGTATTTGTTTTGCCCGTTCTTCGTGCCTACGCTTCCTTTCTTCTGTGGCAAAGGCATTTTGCTCCGTCATTAATCACAATGAGGCTGCCATTTCCCTATTGAAAGGCGTAATCATCCTTTGCCTTGCCATTTTCCTTCAATTTTCGGGCCTTGTTTCGCCCTGTAGCCCTAGGTATGGAACCTTCATCCGGAGACGAATTTTCTACGCTTGTTTCTTGAATGGTAGGAGATCCATCTTCATCCCCATCTGCATTCGAGGATGCATTTCCAAACACCAGTGTAGGACCAACTCTTTTTTGAGGTGGATCTTCAAATAACACCCATCATTTACAAATTTCCCAATAACCGTATGACTAAAGGGTTTGGAGTTGTCCTCCGTATACAGTTCCTCCGCTTGGCGTACCTAGAAAATATAATTACAAAAATTAAGGGAAATTAATTTATGAAATTAAATGTAATATAATTAAATATTTAAAATAACTTGTAATTGGCTCTTACAAAAACAGTTACTTCATCGTAGTAAATGGCTCCACTTTCATGTCTGCTTGTGACCTTTAACACTGTTTGATGCCATTTATTCAACTTGGATAAAGATGTTTTTTCCATCTTGAAGAACAACTCTCATGGTTTTAGGAATTCGGTGGAATGATGCCTTCATAGAACTCATAGTACTTTTTGGACATACGAATCCAAACACCTTCACTTGCTTGAGAACTCCCCCTCATGCTATCTTCCGAGTCCCAAATATAAGCCCTACAAAGAGTTTCATCTTCTTTTTGGGTCCAAGCCCTACCTTTCATTGCAGATGTGGCCATTTGAAAATTATTGAAAAATCTGAAGGAAAGATTATTGGAAGAGGTAAGAGAATAGAATGTGAAGAATTGAAATAAAATAAAGTAAGATGGTGTGGAATGGTGAAAATCATGTGAGAAATGGTGTAGGAATGGCTTAGGTATTTATAGGAAAAAAGTTAAATTTTTTATTTTTTTTAATTTTGACGCCAGGTAGCCGTTGGCATTTGAAATTTAGGCTGATTGGCCTGATTTGGTATTTTTGGCCCGGTGGGGCCTATAAGCCATTTGGTCTAGCCCTCTGTTGGAGAAGATTTTCGTGTCATTACGGGTAATTTTTAGCCTTATGACCCTTTGGCTGGATTGATTGGAGATCGCCTAAAAATAAATTTGGGACCGATGAAACCCCACATAATGAGAACCACCATGTTTAAACACATATGAAGCCACGAAGTATGCTGCTCAATTACCATTATGAGGGACAAACAACAACTCCACAGACCTCATAGTTTGAGCAAGATACAAAATATCATGAAGAAAAAACTCTATTGTTGTGTCACCTCCAACTTATTTGTTTACCATTTGGATGATAGTCTTCGCATTAGATTCAATCTCAATACAATCTAAGCCTTCCTTTATGCACGTCACCAGAGTTGCACAGATTGCAGCAGCTTCCGCCATTGCAGCATTTTGAAAGTTCAGGTCCCTAGTGCCGCCCACACTACAAGAAAAATGGGAACTCTGCACAATAAATTATTTGTGCCCTTTGAGGCCAAAGAGCACCAACATATGTGCCCATAGACCAATAGCAACAATGCAAAAACTAAGTTTGTATTTGTATCCTCTATGGGTGTCACCTTTGATCAAAGAGCACAATTCTGAGTTCTGTGCTCATGATATCAGCACAAATAAAGGGTGTTTTGTTCCTCTGTTCTGACAAAGTTGTCAGACTACCTTTTCCAACCATGTTGGCACTTAAAATGTAATTGTGCCTGCATGAATTAAATATTTAAAAAAAATAATCATAATTTGAAAATTTCAAACTGAAATTGAGGGGTTTTTTTTTTATTTTTTTTATTTTTTTTATTTTAATTTTCATAGAATGTAGAAAGCCTACAATACATTCTCAATCTCACAAACATATATTGTAATGTTACATATTTCATCTCTAATGCAAAAAGAACTTGAAAGCTGACATTTTTGGACAGATGCATCTTCCCCAGCAAGCCTTGCACCTCATCGAATCTCTGCTGCTCCATAAACGAATTAATGAAGATGATCATCAGGAGAAGATCTTCCATTTCTGTTTAAGTATTCCTTCAAATAGTTTTCCCCTATCCTCTTACACAACAACATCAGTAAACTCAATAATTTAATGATTATAGTAATGTAAAACAAGATAATCTTAACACATAAGAATAGAACCCATCTTTGCTATTTCATAATCAAATTAATCAGATGGTCTATGTGGAATCTAGACCTTTTTCTGCCAAGGTTACGAAATGAAACCCAAATTCAAAGGTTATGAATCAATACCTATTAGTCGGATTCGAAACAGAAGCACATCAACTTCAAATATCAACCATTTGTAACACACAATATATCAAAATGAAGCTGGGACTAAGAGGAGTTCAATTTTACCTAAATTGAGGCCAAAGGATGGTCGGAAGTGGCTGGAAAATGGCTTGAAAGTCACGGCCAGTTTGGGTCTCTATGAATCCATGACAGATTCGACCAACAAAGCTTGAATCTAGTCCCTATGACTGTGAGGAATTTGTTTATGGTGTCAATATCATCGTCTTCAACTAGATTTGGGCAGGAAAAGCTCGGAAAACCTGCAACTCACCAGAATAGTGAGATCGTTAGTTCTTTGTTCAATCTCGCAAACGTGGTGGAAATTTTCACATGCAAAGCCAGAAATCGACTTAGAACATCAAAGGAATTAACCGGAGGTAGTTACAGACCTTACCTCGGTCAGGAAGGCGATGAACTCACCGAAATTCTCTCGGGTTCGAGACCCGTGGTTCTCCGATTTGAGGTTCGAGTCAAGGTTTGGGCACTAGTCTCGTGTTTGGAGACGAGGATGGTGGTGGTTTGGTATTTAAAGTCATCGGAGAAGGTGGTGGTTCATAGTTGTATGGCTCGGGGAAAAGTGACTAGAGAGAGATAAGGATGAGGGGAAAAAAATGAGAGAGAAGTGAGGGAGTTCGACTGAGAGAGCAGAATGAGACCGATAGAAGAGGGAACAGAGGAAGGGAATTGAGGTGTGGGTCTTAGTGGCACTCACTCCAATTCTACATAAAGAAGATAATTTCAAACAACCAAGAAGGGATAGGGGTTGGACCGGCTGGTAAAAAATAGGCGGTTTTAAAAAAATTGTGGGTGCAAGTGGGGCTGGTTTCATGATAAAGTAATAAAAAATTAAATAATTGTGTCCTTTACAAATAGTGTTGGGATCACTTTTCAAAATTTGCTAGTTAGTGTAATTTGTTATTGAGCACAAATATATGTTTTGTGTTCTCTTTCATAAAAAAATATATTTGTGCTCAGATTTCTAAAGTAAGACACAAAGATGGTGTTTGTAAAATAGTTGTCAGATCAGAGGACATAAAAGGTTTGCGTTGCCATGCTGTGAATTCACTGAATTGTGCAGTATGGACCAGACGAGAAACATAATTATAAACAAAAAAATATACAATGTTGGGAGTATCTATATCATGGGCCAATTAGAAAGAAAACATTATTATATTGTAATACTACATAAGTTGAGGACCCAAGAGGAGTTCAACATAGCATAAGATAATTATATTTTCACACACCAGTGAAATATAACATAATATAAAATATATTAATTGTCCTCGTCGTCGCTGCTTAAAATCTCAACGATAACATTCTGCATATTTCGTGAGCTCATATGTGGGAGAGACAGGCCTCTAGGACGAATTAGTGCTTCATAAGTGCGTGGTTCTTCAATAAAAACGACAGAACTAGTAGACTCTTCAGTTGTTGTTTCAACAGAAACCAAATTGATAGGGTATTGTTCTGTCCTACTTGGGTTTGCCTATGCTGGCAAGGCACGTCCTTGAGGTACGCGTACACATCCATTATTGGAGGGTAATGCGTAACCAAGGCAACCATCAACAACAGTAGTAAGAATGTACTAATTATCAATAGAAAGAGGTATGCGCCCAACATTAACAAGTTGTCGTGGACGTTGAGCTGGAGAATTCGCTGTGGAATTTGCTGTTGTAATGTTGGAAGCAATAGACGAATGTGATGCTGGAGATTCGGTTCCAATTCGAACTTCACGACTTCGCCTATCCGTTATTCTCAATGATGTAGAACTTGATCAAATTCAAAAGAAACACAACTGTATGAAACAACCTTATAATTTTCCAAATACAAATTAGTAAGGGAGTGTGGACGTTTTATACTAGAATAAAGGCACAAATCCATAATTGTGCCAGCATATTCTTTTCCTATGGAGTGATTTATTATTTATTAATATTTACTGGACACAATTTCTAACATTTGTGTCATAAAAAGGAATTTATAATAAACACAATGAAAAGTAGAATGATTTATTATTTATTAATATTTAATGCACACAATTTCTATCATTAGTGTCATAAAAAAGAATCTACAATTATTTGTCTATCTAAAGATCAGCTTGCTTTTGCATAGAGACCGACCCTAAGGGCACAATTGTTGGTTATGTGTCACTGCATGAAGTACTTTTAGTGCCGTAAAAAAAAATAAACACTTACTATAAAACCAAAAACCATATCACCAAGCATAAAAAACAAACCTGCAAGAAGATACCAATCTAAAAAGCAGTTCAAAAAGATACGAATCTAACAAACATTCCTTGCAGCTGGAAATGATCCATTGTAAATCTAAAACAAGCCACTTAGTACTATGGTGTAGTGGTATTCTTCCTTACTTGTAAGTGAGAGATCTGAGGTTCGACTCTCGCAAAAAACGAATTTGAACAATATTATTGCTAACTTATTTTGAGGCTAAAACATTGCACAATAATAAATAGCTCCATACCATTATTTACCACAATTTTATAAATTTTAATTATTGGTGTGCTAGAGGAGGTAAAGACAAACGAGAGAGAACATATAGTGCCTATAACAAATAACTTTTATAGACACAAAATGTTTTTTGTGCCCATCTTTAGTAAAAAAGTTGTCATCTGACCCCCACTGAGCACAGTTTTCGTGCCCATTATTGTTTTGTGTCTGCTTTTTTTAACATTGGGCACAATAGATGGTGCCCTCTATGGAATGGGAACTGTTTAAGCTTTTTGGTGATCAAACCGACACAAAATTCTCAATTGTGCCCTTTGTTTTGTACCCAAAGCTTATTTTTGTTGTAGTGCCACTAAGTGCAAAAGTCTAGCAAAACCTCAAATCACCAATCTATTGTACTTAACAAGATTAAATGGGGAAGTTCTAAAAGTGTGACGAAAATCGTGTTACCTTTGGCTCCATTACAAGATTTATGGTTGGAGGTTTGTTTCTCAACTCACCAGGTCTTATAATCTTGTAGTTTATACCAGACTTCCTGATATAATTCTCTGCCTGAAGCTTTGCTATTAAGGTGAGCCCAAAAACATTGAAGAAAGCTGCGTTAAGAATCTGCCCCACTGCTGACCAATTTTGGGAGAGATGAAAGGAGAAGGAGAAGGGGAGAAGAACCAGAGCGACACGGTGAAGGGATGGTCGCCGCCGTTGTAGTAAGGCTGAGAAGGAGAGTGCATGGAGGTTGTGTTGGGGTTGATTTGTTGGGTTGCTCATGCTATCGCAAGAACAGAGTGAGAGGTTTTTGAGTGTGCATCATGTAGGGAAGAAATTTGTGGTGGTGGTGAGGTGAGGAGTAATGGATGGAGAGGTGATGAGTGGAGAGAAGACAAAAAAATGAGAGAAAAGATTGTGAAAGAGGTATAAAGTAATATGAAATGAAGGATTTCACTTAAATTTTGACAATTGCAGGAGTACAGTGAAATTTTAAAGAATGGGGGGAAATATCCCACCCAATATTCCCACCCAAAATTTTGTCATGGAGATACATATTTAAAAAAAAATAAAAACACCAACTAGTCAAGTAAAAGCGACACCATTTTCTTTTTAATTGACATTGGGTTTTAATTAAACAATTTAAAATCTATGTCGGCTACAACCAACACCTGGTTTTAATATTTAAAAAAATTTAAACTCTATGTCGAATTCAACTGACATGGAGTTTTAATATTAAAAACTTTAAAACCTACGTCGGATTATGGGTTTTAATATTTAAAATTTTCAAAATCTTTGTCGGCTACAACCGACACCAATTTAAATTTGGGTTTAATATTTAAAAACTTTAAAGTCTATGTCAGTTACAACCGACACCTTGTTTTAATATTTAAAATTTTAAAATTTATGTCGGTTACAACCGACACCATCTTGGAAAATATTTAAAAACAGTCATTAAAGTGTTGATGTCCATTATAACTGACAGTAATTTCGACACAATAGTAATAAGATGTTGAAAATGTCTTATCCGCTAGTATGTTATGTTAAACCGATACCAACCACCAACACAATAAGGCGGTTTTGTAGTAGTGTCCGAGAAGGAACCCCTCCCCTATTTCACTCGAATCTGACCAAACCAACTTCTAGAAACTTGAACTTCGAGTCTTTAGGACCTTACGTTTTATGAAATGTTATATCTATTGATTTCACACTTAGAAAAGGTTTACGACTATTGCTTTATGCACATTGAGATATATATGATTTATGAAGATTACGAATTTGTGGTTTATGAGACTGATTGAGTTAGAATGTTTTTATGGTTCTATATGATTTATGAGGCGAGGTTTTGATGCTTTTATTAAGATCTAATGTTTTGGCATGATTTCGAAGATACGTTTCCATTGATATCTAGTGGGTTATCATACGGCACATACACACAATACAGGTATAGTCTATGGTCATAGGACACAGTTGATGAAGAGTGAGATATTTATGTCATACCCCCAGCTTCACTGGCGAAACCAATGTCAAACAGCTTCACTAGCCACGGCTAGTGTCGGCGTGTTTGCCATATATAGAGATATGTTTTCTTCTCCGGCGTAACCCAGAGTCGTACAACTTCACCTTAGGGTAATGGGCCTACCATGTTTCTTCACTGGCACAACCTAGTGTAGTACAGCTTCGCCTTCGGGCGATGGATAAGTACTGCCTTCGGGCGACTATGATATCCCTACAGAATACAATTTTGATGGGATTTATGGTTTCACCTTTGGGCATTTCGAGATGCATGTTTTAGAGATGACTTTACGGTTATAAACTTTTCCAGCATGCTAAAGTTTTAGAAAAACCTATATGTAGTATTATATATGTTTTCAAAGCAAAGGGTTATTATGTTCAGAAAGAATTCGGGTTTGGATATTATTAGTATAAATATAACTATGGTCCACTCACCTTTTCTGTTTTGCGCCCTCTGAGGATCTAGCAATAAGGAGTACGACCCGAATATCAAGGCATTTCCCTACCAGTGACTTTGAGCCTTCCATTTGCTATGAATTGTAATCTGAATTCTTATTTGCACTTGTAGTTCCATGTAATAGTATGCTATGGACATATTTGTGTGTCTTTTGCTTCGAATCTGTGATCATTAAACTTTCCAATACCTTTATGTTTAATTCAGGATCTTGTTATTGTTTATGATTTTTGATCTTCAGATGCTGATATTTTCTTGTGTTTGTATGAAATTATGGCTTTCGTCACTTCCGAATGTCGGCCAACACGTGCTATCCAGGTATCTGGGTTGGGGTGTGTCATCCTCACACCTGCTTATTTATCTCATCCAAAACCCAGGTATCATTAGTCTGGTAAAATCTCTCTCGCTCACTTTGTCCCTCTTGTAGCGCCCTTATTCCACTTTCTTGCCTCACCTGCTCTCTCTCATCTAGATCACAAGTTCGTCTTCGTCGTCTTTTTCTTTTTTCTTTCTATATTCCTCCATTCTCCTTACACACACTCTCCTCCTACCTCATCCAGTCGTCTTCAATCTTTGACAACAAAACTTTCCTTAGGGTTGAAGAAGGAAGATGATGATTTAAATTCTTTCGATCTGGGCTTTGAAGAGGATAAATGATGAGGAAGGGAGCTAGGCTCTGACGTGGAGATGGATTGCAATTCGAATCTAGGCTCCAACGAGGAGGCGAACAATGAGGAAGCGAACGATGAGGGAGGGAGTTGGGCTCTAATAAGGAGGGGATAACAATTCAGACCTGAGCTTTGACGA